CTCAAGGATCTCATGCTAATGAAGACAATACTAAATGTGGTAAACGTTTACTCTCATTCCATTCGCAATACATTTTAAATAATTTCAAACATATCATAATGGAGCCTGATACTAGATTGAACAATTTCTTGATGGCTTAAACTGCTGAGATTTAATGGCCTTTTGATATGACCTTATCGTTCTCCTATTAATCCTTATCCACTTTAGACCCCTGCCCAGCTGGCAACTACAAAGACACTTCTATGACAGAATGTCAACAATGTCCTACAAACACATACAGTGAAGAGAGTTCAGGATTCTGTAGAACATGTCCTCAAGGATCTCATGCCAATGAAGCCAATACTCAATGTGGTAAACGTTTACTCTCATTCCATTCTTGTCAAGATATTTATGATTTATATACAGGGTGGGCCAAAAGTCAGTACCCATACTATACGTACCCATACTATACGTTGGCCTTAATAGCTCAGTCACTGAGTGCCCAATTGAAATAATTCTTTCTGGTATGACTTAATACCACCACTGGTTCGAGGAATTTGTCAAATCGAAAAATATTCGCGTTCATTTTTTAAAAAATTAAGGTTCATTTTCGCATTTATTTGATAGTTTGGATAGTCGGATCGAGCCAAATTTTATTAAATTGTGTTTGGCCATTCGAATTACGTTTGTCCTGAAAAAATTAGAGTTTTAGCTTCTCAGATCACCGAGATACGAAGCATAATGAGTTTATTCATTACGTGTGATCAGGTGATTGGCTTACCTAATCACGTGATAAGGTGACCCCGTTAACCACCCCGTTAAACATTATGGGAATCGTTAAGGCTGCCCAATTAAAGTGTCGTGTCACGGTGTCACATAATCACCCTATTTTAGACCACGCCCATTCAATATTAAAACATTTATATTATTCTCTCTGAACATGCTGGACGCCTAATTTTTTCAGAGACGGTAGATTATTAAATGTTGCATTTGATCTGAAAAAATTATGTGAAACAGATTAAAAATAACGAGATTATTAAGCATTTTGTGTATCTCGTTAACAAAATTGACTGGGTGAATTATTCAAAAAATTAGGCGTCCAGCATGTTCAGAGAGAATAATATAAATGTTTTAATATTGAATGGGCGTGGTCTAAAATATTCGAATTTTCAAATTTTGGCGACGGAATCCTCGAACAAGTAGGTACAATATGCCATTTGCAATTAAGCAACAACTCTCAGATATAAAACACGGCGGAGGTATAAGACCCAACGTATGGGTACTGACTTTTGGCCCACCCTGTACATACAATAACATACATATATTATTATTAATATTAAGATTAAAAATCCGACATTTTTGCATCTTTTTGGGCTTTTTTTTTAATTTCAAAAAAATAAATTTGTATTCGTTTTTAATACAGCTTACAGTTACAGTGAGCAAGAAAAGCAGTTATTATAAGCAGTAAAAATGATTATATATTCAAGTCCGATGATAGAAATTGAAATTGGACATTTAATTCAAAATACTAATAATCCTAGGAATCTTTGTGCCAGGTAATGGAAATATTTACTTCCAGGAATTTGGAGCAAGAACGCTGGTAAATATCTGTTCGGCTAGAGCGCAGTCTTCTGAAAGCTCAGAGCGAATGTCTCAAACGATCCGGTCAGTTCAAAATTGCAGTTAATTTGATGATAAATTAGGAAATTAATTGGTTATCTTGCAAAATTTAATACACAAAGATATAGTTATACAGAATCTATGGTAAAACTAAAATATATCAATTTTTTATAAATACAACTTTCTTCACTAGACAGAGACTTTGGAGGTATCAGTATCACATACGTACCCTCGTCCAAAAAGTTCACTCTGCGAAGAGGATTCGACTCAGGAACAGTTCCTCCAGTGAAATCTCCTGGAAGTAGATGGCTATCTCAAGCGATGATGAAGTTGATTCACGATGTCAATCCTTCGCATCTCGCCGATCTGTGGTCGCGAGAAGCATTATTGGATGCGCGGTGCGGCCCAGTATAGTCAGTGTAATAAGCGCCAAGCGCGAGCACAGAACTTTTTTTCTCCGATTTCGATAAATTTGGTACCAAAAGTTGTCTAAAAATGTGAATAAAATAAATCCACCGTGTAGCAATTTTCGCTAAAAATGCTACACGCACGGCGCTTGTTCGCCGCGCGTGCTTTTTTCGCGCAAATTTTTAGTTTTTGGCCTATAACTTTCACATTTTCAGTTATTATCACATAAATATTATGGCATCGTAATCAGCTCATCGAGACGAAACTTTTAGTACTAATATTTTAAGATTTAAAGGAAAATTAATCTAAAAGTTGCGTCCGACTAAGCTCATTACGATCCTGTATGAATTATTTCAAAATATTCAATATGTTAGGAGTTATAGGCATTTTAAGCAATAAATTACCCATTTTTCGTCCTTTGTACACTCTTGTGATGCACAAAAGGCCCACATACAGCTCGACGTTATCGTGCTACACGGTGAGTTTTCATTAGTCACACTTAGAGGCAACTTTTGGTACCAAATTTATCAAAATCAGAGACAAAAAATTCTGTGCCAGCTCATGGCGCTTATTACATAGACTAGTAGTGAGTAGTGCATCGCGCTACAAATGATGAAGGTAACAAACTATTTTTAGCACTAGATATCGACTATCGTTAAAGCTATTGATAGGAAACGCTTATAGTGAGCGCTAGTAGTAGTTCAAGTTAGCGCTAACCATCACGTTTAGAGTTAGACTATATGAAGTGTATAATTTGGTTTACTTTCTGAGCATGAGTCTGAATCATACAAAACATATTGTTTTTCATTGAGAGAGCTGACCATGCTGTTGTATTCTTGTTCTGTAATTGTTGGCTCCTCGTAATTAGTGAATTTGAAGTTGTCAATATCCTCTTCACGTTTCAAATTGTTTGGTGGATGGCTTGCGAGACCACGCGGATGAAGTTTTTCATCGTACTGAACATTGACGGGCACGTGCGAATTTAAAATATCTTCGGTAGTTTTACTTATCATTGAATCAAGAGTCGCCTCAATTTGTTCAAATCTTTTCATATGTTCAATTTTAATTTTATAACGTCGTATTTTGCAAAAAACGACTCCACAAGTGAATTCCCCAATATTTTTGCCTCATCAGTCCAAGCACTCCAAGGAAAGTATAAAAAAATCTTGATGTAGTAGTATTTTTCCGGATCTGTTTTTCTGGATGGTGTGTGACTACGAACAATTTGAGGACCGCAGTATAAGTATTAATACTCCTAATCATTGTTCCCAAATAATGAATAATGCGTCCTTCAACTGTATATTTTAGATTTTGTAATATTAGAACATTTTTCATAATTTACAGTGAATTCTTTGTAGCACATGTCCTTCAAAGAATCAGGCCTTTATATACGATCAATGTCTCCCCGACATCAACACCGCCACAGTACAGACTACAGGACACCATCAGAGTATGGTGTCATAGTACAGGACACCATGTATGGTGTCACAGTACAGGACACATTTAACAAGATCTAATACCTGATTCTGTTCACGTCGTGTCAGAGATTCCATAGCCTCTCCTTTCAACCCTTCCTTTCTTCTCCTGTCTGCAGTTCGATTCTTCAAATATCTGTCCGCGTCATTATCCCTTTCAACAAAGAACTGGCAGGAACAAGAAAAACGAGTTTTATTGCATCAAGCGAACGTAAAAAGTATTGAACAAGTCCAAAATATAGACATTAATAACATACAAAATATAACCGTCAAAAATTCGACTCATCGGCAAAGATCAAATAATCGTAATCAATTTGGTGCTCTTTCTTACTTTGTACAGCTGTCCTAAAGACGATTTACACCCAGTTATCGAGTCCTAATACGAATTTTTGACGGATATAAATTCAAACCAATTCTTCAAAATTCTGAGATAGACAAAACTGATGGCACTTAATTGTCTCCAACATAGCAACTGTAATGATACTATACTGAAGGTAATTATTTTACATTTATTATTTAATACATTTAAGATTAAGACCTTTAAGAATGCCACAATATAATTCGGAGTAAAATCAAAGTTAATTCCATAATACAAGTTGAGCTTAAACTAAAAAAGTAGGATTTTTATAATAGTCCATCAAAAATTTTCAGTTCTATAACTTCAGTGTAGAATTTAATATGATATAGTATCATAAGTGAGAGAAAATGATTATGAAGGGCGAATGGATTGAAAATCTTAGCGAAAAAGCAAGATGCAAACGATATATCATTCTAAAGACTAGCAGATAGTCTCGTAATATAATCATAGTATATTATAGAGGAAAAACACGTATATATAACATAGTATAAAATAGTATAAAACAACATTGATTCAATTCTAAATTTTGAAATTGAACAGATTTGCAAGAAAATCACGAGAAATCTTATAGAATTGATTAACTTTTAAATGCTGGTTTTAAATAACGCATAATTATGATTCAGTACCAAAAAAAAATCCTTGGTACAATTTTGATAAGAACGTTAGAGACACTCCACATTCGGCAGATTCCGAATTTTATCAATATTCCACAAAACATCATGCCAAACAAAAAGAATTGATAAGAAATATCCAGGGTATTTAATTATCAATGTTAAACAATAATAATTGTAGATTCTCCTGAAGATTTTTTTACGAATAATCACAGTGTCCGTTTTACGGACCATTTTTAAATTTCAAACAACAACAACTTTTTAGGGAAAACTCGCTTTGTTTGCTTGTTAAGGAATTTTCATAATTATGGTAAATTCACTTTCCGCCCATCTCTGTAAATATACGCTACCTGTTGGTCATAAATCACTCACCTTCGCTACTTTGGGTCGTTCACATATTACGTAATCATTTTTTGGAACATTTTTACCCCCCCCCCCCCCCCCTCCGTAATCAGTTTTACACATAGCTATTGTGTCAAAATTACACTAGCGTAATCATTCGGAAACCCCCCCCCCCCCTCAGCTGATTATGTAATATGTGAACGACCCCTTATCAGTCAAATTCTGTACACCTTTTAGCTGCTTATCAGTCAAAATCTTAACACAGTCTGAGCCAAATGTCAACCTTACAAACAGACTTAGTGACAACTATGCAACAAATAGTATGCACTAGATTCCAGCAGCCACTAGAGCTTGTTTACAACAATTGTGAAGTGTTCTAATTCCACATTCCATCAAATCCAACAATTGTTCTAATAAGACTGATATCAGTTCGTTCTGTATGTCAATAAATTATTATCCCATTTTCATAAACTCATCGTCCAATTAACATCTAATACTTCATCCCAACAACTTTTAATAACTTAAACACTGTCCAGAATATATATTAGTCCACTATAAACAACAACTGTCCAATCCATGCAGTTCACATCTTTACAGCTCTGCCTCTCATCTCTTTCGCTGATGATCCACTTCAGTTCCACAGATATCTCACTGCTATTTCACTGTTATCCCAGTGCTCAGACAAGCTCGTGTTTGAACCACTGTTTCTCCCCCGCACTCAGGTACCGCAACATGGCCCTGAAGAGCATGACCACACCCAGTTCAGATCCCTCGTCTCCGGAGAGTAGGTTGTATGGAGGGTAGAGAACACCTCCTCGTGCGTTAGTCACGTTGTGGAGACCTGGGGAGGGTGGTGGTTATTTAAATTATTTAAACTATTTAAACTATGTTAACTGTTCACTTAACTATTTTAACTATGTAAACTATGTAAACATTGAGGTAAACTACGTGGATAGGGGTAAACCAGTAGTTTAACTACATAGATAATAGATATGGGTAAACTGTTCCATCACTCGACATTGAATTGCAACATTTAGGGGCGGCTAAATATTGAGGGTAGACATTTAAATGTCGGGTTACTTTGAATTGTGGTTTGTGAGGTAGAGTCTAGAGGATTAACTGCATAAAGTTAAACAGTCTATGGCTACTTTTAAGGTCAGCAAAGCGTTTTGGGTTTTACCAGAGCGAGGGTAAATTGCTGTCAGTTTTTATAGATCTAGGATCAAAGTTCGTTTTTAGAAGAAGAACTTAAATCTGGAATAAACCATATAAACTGTATAAATAAAGGGTCAAATGCTTAAAGAACAACCATTTACGCAGTTTGTCCACTCTTTATGCAGTTGAACAACAAGAGTTGGTAACCTGTATAAAGAGTTGGATAAACTGCGTAAACAGTGAGTTTAAACGATCGAATAGTTGACTTTAGCAAAGTTTGGGGATGCAAACGGAGTTTAGCAGTCACAACAACGCGACGAAGAGGCCTAATTTCACAAATACCAGCTCAATTTCTCAATTTCAGTCACAGCACCGCGACGAAGAGGCCTATTTTCACAAATACCAGCTCAGTTTCTCAATTTCAGTCACAACACCGCGACGAAGAGGCCTATTTTCACAAATAACAGCTCAATTTCTCAATTTCAGTCACAACACCGCGACGAAGAGGCCTATTTTCACAAATACCAGCTCAATTTCTCAATTTCAGTCACAACACCGCGACGAAGAGGCCTATTTTCACAAATACCAGCTCAATTTCTCAATTTCAGTCACAACACCGCGACGAAGAGGCCTATGTTCACAAATACCAGCTCAATTTCTCAATTTCAGTCACAACACCGCGACGAAGAGGCCTATTTTCACAAATAACAGCTCAATTTCAGTCACAACACCGCGACGAAGAGGCCTATTTTCACAAATAACAGCTCAATTTCTCAATTTCAGTCACAACACCGCGACGAAGAGGCCTATTTTCACAAATACCAGCTCAATTTCTCAATTTCAGTCACAGCACCGCGACGAAGAGGCCTATTTTCACAAATACCAGCTCAATTTCTCAATTTCAGTCACAACACCGCGACGAAGAGGCCTATTTTCACAAATACCAGCTCAATTTCTCAATTTCAGTCACAACACCGCGACGAAGAGGCCTATTTTCACAAATACCAGCTCAATTTCTCAATTTCAGTCACAACACCGCGACGAAGAGGCCTATTTTCACAAATACCAGCTCAATTTCTCAATTTCAGTCACAGCACCACGACGAAGAGGCCTATTTTCACAAATACCAGCTCAATTTCTCAATTTCAGTCACAACACCGCGACGAAGAGGCCTATTTTCACAAATACCAGCTCAATTTCTCAATTTCACCAGCATCATCGTTTCCACGGAATCAATGAAAGAAATCACTTGAGAATTCAACTGTACCGCCTACACTCGCGAACGCAAAGCTGGGCCCTGAATGTACTGTTCTTTGCGTATTTCCATTTAGAATAGCCTCTTAGTCTTTAGAATAGAAAACTCTAAATTTCCATTTAGAATATATTTTACCTAGCGATGTAACGATGAGAGCCTGCCTGGTGAGGGTTTCCTCCTGAGTGCGACCAGTTGGTTGTAGCGTAAGACTCACAACTCCGTACCCGGCATTCCATACCGTCCTGATCCTCCTGACTTTATTACTCTCCTGAGAACGTTGTGTAAATTAACAATGTGTTAGCTGTGGGAAGTTTAGTGTTATGGTTAGCTATTATAGTGTTATGGTTAGCTATAGTGTTATGGTTAGCTATAGTGTTATGGTTAGCTATAGTGTTATGGTTAGCTATAGTGTTATGGTTAGCTATAGTGTTATGGTTAGCTATAGTGTTATGGTTAGCTAAAGTGTTATGGTTAGCTATAGTGTTATGGTTAGCTATAGTGTTATGGTTAGCTATAGTGTTATGGTTAGGGTATAGTTTAGTGTTATGGTTAGCTACAGTGTCATCAGATACATACATACAAACACTGTCTCTGTCTACCAATAAAATGACCCTGCCTAAAAGTCCGGTATACAGGGTGTGGGTGGGTGATTTCTGGCCACACTGTATAGTCTAACTCTGGACCTATGTGACAAGTAAAAACAAAAAATATTTGGAAATAAACTTCTGACCCCGGCTCTAATCACTAAACTGAATTTGCCTTGGTATGATAATCGCAGATGGAGGTGGTTTCGCTCACGAAGTTTCGTTAATATCGAGACTTGGTGTCAGCTTTGCCGTATAATCGACCATAGCTAAAGTATATTTTTCAAAAAAATCTAAATATCTCGTTATGTGAATCACTTTGATCACTTTGATCACTTTGAAAACGTCGTGCATCTGCCATAATGTGGCAATTGGGTTCATTTTCAGCCCGCCCCCCCCCCCCCCCCCCCCCCCCCTCCACCGAGATAAATTGAGTTATGCTTGGGGCGTATGGGTCCTTGGAGAAAAATTGCACTGAAAAAAAAATTTCCCCATCAGTTTCAGTCTTACGCTATTTCTATTCTTGCCCAACCATTAAACCAACTCTACAGGTAGTCCCTAAGTGGGCGTCTAGACAGCTTTGCCGTATAATCCACGATAAAGGCAAATTTCAACTGGATAACGATTGCTGTAAAAGGGTTGAGTTTAATTGGGGGCACTCGGGATCACGACCTCAAATCCAGACTTTAAATTGTATCATTTATGGAATTTCTCGGGGAAATCATGTCCCCAAAAATCTCATACGTCTGGGAAAAATTCAAGTCCCTTGACAAAAAAATCAACAGAAGCTCTTGTATGGGTATTACAATGGGAAGGAAAAACAACAATTGATAGTTTTAACGTTCTCGAAATGATGAGCACCGGTACCAGCTGTCAAATTATAACTTAATAAAACTTAATTAATAAATAATTTGATAAATTAATACCTTGATTCTACTAGCTGCATCCTGCACGTGAGCTAGAGGACGAGACTTGTTGCCACACCCAACATGAAACAGAGAACTACAGAAGACTCTGAAACACTCTTGTAGTGGCAGCTGGGAGGCCCGGCAAGGCAGATTCTGTAATTAAATCATTTAGTTGGTAATTAGTTAATTGGTTTTTAGATTGAGTGAATTTGTCTGATGAGTGATAATGCAGTTACGGTGTACATGGATTTTAAACTGAATGAAATGTCTAAAATATTAATGAGAAAAACGATATTTTAAATTAAAATAACATTAACAATTGACTTACTCTCTATGCATTTGTTTACCCTTATTACCGACAGATCCGTCTATGGATCTATCTAGATAACACCTTGTTTATAAGATGCTATGTGAGTGATGATTGGCTACCAGCGGGGTGACATTGTGAGTGATGAAGATGTTAGTGAAGTGATCCAGGGTTGTTACCAGTGGGTGACGGTGACATTTGTGTGAATGATGTGATGTTGTATGAAAAGATATCGGTGATTTAAAAGCTACTTCAATTAAGCATTCAGAATATGATAATGTGGGACACTTTTTGCTTTGGTATTTTCCTTCATTCGAACAAACAAACAAACCTTGGTATATCTAGAATCTAGTAGTAGGTAGTTGAAGTACTGTTTGCCAGAGTTGAAAGATTTAGAGATCTCATCCACCTTAGCAACCACATTCTTCATGGGATATCCTCTTAGACAGGATGTTAGAGGGCCAGAGTATCCTGTGAAATGTTTATGTGAAGATAGGAACATTAAAATTTACATCCCATTTACATCACATTGGATTCTAATTGGAGATGTATTTTCACCAGAGGGGGGGGGGGAGCATTCTCAAATTTTCAATTAGTTACAATACCTGATATATCAGGAGCAGTGAGACTCTGTATGCTCTGAACGTTGCTAAATTTCTTGATCCCTGCAGTGCTATCAGCTACCTGTCTTACCCAGGAACTCCATCTGAAATAAAGTCGATATGTAATGGGAGAGTTGGTTCAGTGTCAATGGATTATAACAAGACATATATTTGATTTTTTCTTCAGTAATTGTTATACTGTTATGGGGGCAAATCATAACAATCGCTAAATTGTAGGAATGAAAGTAAAATCTTTTAATTGTATCACCATTATCAGTCAACTGTAGCGATAAGTAAGTCTGCTTACCTTGTTTTGTCTGATTCAATAGATGGTCCGTCAGGAAATTGGGTGAAAGCGTCCGTCTTCGTTCGACCACGGTTTACCGTGTTTGGCTGGATGTTCAGCTCTGCAATGATTTGAAGTATAAGCACTTTGAATAACATCGAGCAGTACACATTATAAAATATTCCAGCGAGCAAATTCGTTCCATATTCAAAATTTAGATGCAGAATTTAATGTTTGAAGAAAATTGGACTCGTGCCAGATCATGCGTGCGCGCGCAGCTCGGCAGCATTTTACAGTGCGCGACAGAGATTTCAATGACCCACATGATACCGCGCGTGCCGTATTTACACAAAATATGAGATAGCGTGTCCCATAGTCGACGATTCTCGCGCTACGCAGAACTGGTTGACTTCTAAACATTATGTATTAATTAGAGCTTTTTATTTAGAATAAACGTCCTTCGTATTATGGAACCAGAGTGTGGACTGTATATATACAGATATATATATCTTATCTGACTTTCTATGTACATGTTTCAACTATTTTAGTTTTATCACCATATTCGATCGTTTTTAGGAGTATTATTGAAGATGATTACAAATCACCCAATCTGATACGATTCCAGATATGATCGCGGTTGTTGACATGCTGGTGCCTGGTGTATGTAAATGTAATATATAAACTTACTGATATTTGTATTTTTCACAGAATTGTTATCACTTTCTTCACTCTGGCTGAGGATGTTACTCGACTGCCGGCTGAACACTGAAAAAGTTTGATAATTAACTAATTGAACGTAATACCTTACTTTTTCTCACGTTTCATACTGGCAAGGAAATTAATAATAACAATAATAAATAATACTTTCAAAGCTTTTCCTGCTATTTCCCTTAGCTAGATTCAGATCAATTACTAAACCCAGTTTATTAATTAACCTCTTCCTTTAACCTCAGTTGAAAGAGCCCAACCCAACAACATCATAATAATCAAATTACAGTTTACAGCATATAGTTGATAATTTGTTGATTGTAGGTTAATTAAAACTAAGTGTTGAGTTGCAAGGTGTCTTATAAACAACAGTATGTGTTACTCATCAGCCTATCCTACTGTAAGTTGAGACAATAATGACACCTTTTCAAATTACTGCCAACTTTATCAAGTTTAAACATTACACCTCGTTATATAATAATAGTAGTGTTGAAAGAAAAAAAAGCTCGTAAAAACATGCCCGGACGCCTTATTGAGAGCAATGCGTTAAAGCAACATCGACTTTATCTTAATTGGATCTCTAAAATGATTCGAAGCTGGGTTTTCAAGAAAATACCTTACAATGAGCTGGAAATAATAGAATCGCGAACCAACACCTGTAAAATACACTAAACTACAAGTTAGTTTCTCGGTAGATAAGACCAATCACTCTCATATATTTGTAGAATGGTGAACATGTAGTTGTAATCTAGTGTAATGAGTGAGGTATGTAATATTACACTATCTCTATCTTTATCTTATTCCACAAGGTTAGATGTAAAATTGAACAGTCTCACCTGTCATACTATACGTGTAATCTTGAAATATTATACTCAGTTTATTCTCTGGTTAAATACTCCGTGACAAAGATAATAACCCTTATTTCTAAAGTTTGAGTAGAAAAATGAGCGAATGAACTCCCTCAAATAATTTTAAATAGCTCTGTGAAATCTAGTCACATGACGTCCAGCGAGTGTTTTGATTGGCTGAACAATATAATAGTAGTAACACAGGGTGTTAGCAGGGTGATACATTTCGTGCACTGAAATCTGTGAGTGAGTAAGAAGAGTACTATATTAAAGCTACTTCCTCTTTCCACACGTCTTATAGAATAACTTCTCAGATGCAGATGTAGTTGTGTGTAGAAGTATCAAGAATCAAGATAAAACCGCCGGATTCCAGCTGAGAGCTCTCAAATGTTCCACACTTGTGGAACTTAGTATAACAATGCCAGTCACTTATTAGATAATTAGGTAACCACCTAATTAAACAATTAAACAGGAGAGTAAGGGAGCTCAGGTGATTACTGATTATAACTAACAACTATTATTAGAAAGGGAGTTGGATTATTAGAAAAGGGAGTTGCAAGAAAACACAGCGCAGTCGAATTTCCAGATATTATTCCCCCATCCAGTCGACTGAATGACTGATGTCTTATATCGTTTCTCGATCAAATTATCTTAAAGATTCCTCTCACACTTGAACAGTAAAAGAAATGTACAAGATCCAACCACTTGTAAGTTCTAACACCTGATTGTTATAAAAATAGTTATCGCTTGGACACTCTCATCACAATGTACACAGTACTAAACGTTACCTTGGCACCGGTACCCTTCCCTTATAACAATAGTTAGTGATTGTAAAGTTAGAGCAATTATTTACTGTTCTTGGTCGCCTGAGGGGTGTATAAGTGTACTGTGTGAGCCCACGTGGTAAAGAAGCTACTGCTGGGGAGGCCGGGGTAGTAATGTAATGATAATTAGCTGTTCACATTACGTGTTGTACTAGTATTAAAGGAGCTGGCTAGTATAATTGGCAGTGTTATGTAATATCAATCATATCCACTATTTATACTATTCATGCTGTTAATAGTGTGATGTATCATACAGCTAATTATGGACCATGCGTGCAATATCAATGTGGAATATCACACAAGATATTTAGCTAGGTCTGCAAAACAGAGCTAGAGGTCAGGCTACAATTTACACTCTCTTTCAAAAGGAACTAGACACCACCACCATGACAGTATCCTACTAGTAGTATCCAATGTCTGATATCAGTTAATACCGCTCACTCACCACAAACTCAGGTGTAAATTAGCAGATCTGACTTTAGATTCTCAGGATGACAATAATAATCAAACCATTGTTAACCACTTGATGGGAATTACTGTAATCACAATTACAACAACCAACATAATAACCAGTGTGTCCCTGATTAGATTTCAGACGAATACAACCCCCCAGGGCTCAGTGCAGGGACAGACACGTACGTCGTACACGGAGCTGAGAGAGACAAGGAGCTGAGAGAGACACGGAGCTGACAGAGACACGGAGCTGACAGAGACACGGAGCTGACAGAGACACGGAGCTGACAGAGACACGGAGCTGACAGAGACACGGAGCTGACAGAGACACGGAGCTGACAGAGACACGGAGCTGACAGAGACACGGAGCTGACAGAGACACGGAGCTGACAGAGACACGGAGCTGACTAAGAGGTCGGGTATTGAAGCAATCGAATTTAACGGCATGTTAATCCTAACCACTTACATCCATTGCAACAAAGGAGTACCTAACATCATCAAATTTGATATAAAATACCAGGTCTAATGAACATTGTTCCGGTAGACGGAGGGAGAAGTTTCTGGGCCTGGAGATATGAGTAGACCCAGCTCTGATACAATATATCAGTATTGGACAGGAGCTAGATACGATATATCAGTATTGTACAGGAGCTAGATACGATATATGGGCGATATATCAGTATTGGACAGGAGCTAGATACGATATATCAGTATTGTACAGGAGCTAGATACGATATATGGGCGATATATCAGTATTGAACAGGAGCTAGATACGATTTTAGTATTGGACAGGAGCTAGATACGATATATCAGTATATTGGACAGGGTGTTAAATTTTCACACTGGTTCTGACAAGCTACCTAATTAACTATGATAACAAGACGATAAGCTGTCCAATTAAGCAAACTGCTGTAAAGTGTGTTAATTGGGGTATGGGCAGGGTGCTTGCTAAGATGCTAAGTGATGTTTTTTAGTTATCATGCACGTAGGAGGGGCAGTCTGCTCCCATAATCACACCTAAGAGCCTTAGACAAGTGTTGTGTTTTACAAATTCGTTGGCCCCAAATTAGAGAATACACATTTAGGTAATACACTACTAAATGTACACTTAATACACACTTACACACTAATGTAACAATATTACTCCTACACACTAATATTACTCTTGCATTATAGTAGTAATTAGGTAACACGGTGTCCACTTGTCCTGTAAAAGCTGGCAATGTCAGAGGAGTGACAAATAGGGAGCTGAGTGACAAATGAGAAAACTGTAGTCTACAGTCACTTACCATTGAAGGTAACAATTTCTCAACAATTTCTCAACTCTACACCATTTAGAGGGACACTGAGATAGGGACCGTTTTTACAATATCTCTGAGAGATTTACCCTTTAATTAATATTGTGTAAAAGACAGCAATTTGATCTACTTTATGTAAGATTAGAAAGCCCGTGGTCGCAGGGAGGAAGCTAATAGTATTCTTTGGTAGTCACTTTTTATCGCATCAAAAAATATCCGTCACAACCGAAGATACAATTACAGCCGATTAAAATGTAGCTCGAACTGAACACAACGTATTTACCACAAAACCGATCAAAATGCCGTTCTAACAATCTTTGCACGTGCACATTCACCACCGTTACCATGGTTACTATGCCACTTCCTATTTCTCATATAATTTGCACGTGGGCGGTCGTACAAACGACAATAAAACATAACCTTTCCAATTATAATTAAGATTAGACCGCAGCTTTAAAATACGAACTTTCTGCTGTGAGAAGATGTGATGGCCCTGTCAAGTCTTGACGAAACTCAACATACTTCACATAGGTAGGTTGTAAATAGATTTTTCTAGTTATATATAACTGCACCGGGATAGTTTCTAAGGAAAAGGAGTTGCGTCTATAAACGGTAATTCTATCATTAGTCAGATACAGAAACAGACTATAAATACTCTAAAAGTGTCTGGAAGTCTATTGTTCTGTTAACCAACTCTCTTTTTGTCCAGTGAAATTCCCCAAAGCAGACACCAACCAGGCCTAACATTCTTCTAGAACTCACTTTTACTGACGTTGGTGGATACCGATTTAAGGTAAAGTTTTCCCAATTTCATGGCCCAATTTACTTGGATACTGTTGCAAAGTTACAAGTGAGCCTTATTTTACGTGACACGTGACAGTTTTTGACCAATAAGCTTCCAGTTGTGACCTTTATAATATCCCAGGATCACAGATCACTGTCCCGTACAACAAATAAAGCTCATCTCCCAATATTATCCAACTCAATTTAGCAAATACTACTATCTTACTACCAGGCGCCACAAGACAACTACCATCCTATAAGTGTTTGTCGGCAGCCAATAAGACTCTACAGCAGAGGGGACTTCCGACTTTACTTTAGGACAGAAAGTAGGGCACACCCCTCTTGTGGAACCACAAACTACTTACAACAACGTTTAGAGAATCCAATTAAACCTCTAGCATATCATGTGGGCCATTATTACTTGCAACATGACCCCTAATCAGTGCACACAGCAGTTTGTGGCTTATATAATTATATATATATAATTAGGTAACAGTAGTGCACACAGTAACATTTACCATTTAATTAGTTAATAACTGAGATACACAGACTATAATTACAGTAAATTAAGGTCCCAATGTATATAACTTGATATTTTGTGACAGTGGAAATGAGGTTATTCGAGTGTTTCCAGGTTCAATGAGGCTGAACTGAGACAAGACCATGTCAGTGTCCTGTGTCCAGAAAGATTCCTTGACAAACACTTCTTGGTTTCAGCCTCAGAAAGTACACACATTGGGACCTGTATAATTAGTAATACCATATCTTGATATTCAGATATTTTAAATCCTCACAGGATCAGTAATATGTATTTATATGTGCATATATTCTGAATTTTAAACTTCACCACT